CTCTCTCTCTCTCTCTCTCTGATAGATTACAAATTATTGGCAGATGTTTCGCAGAAGTTTGACAGAGATTTGTTGAATTGTATTATATTCGTAATTAATCAAAACGTCATTGCGATAGAAATCGATTAATAATAACAAAGTGCAACATAAAAACAACAATGTAATGATAATTTAATTAATATCCAAAATATTCGTCAGCTATAAACATTCTTAACGCAAGCCTGTAAATTTGGCATACTAAAAGTACGGAATTTTTTCTCATATTGAGACTCAAACAGCCTCAATTATAAACAAATCAAAGTTGTTGCGCCTGAGCATTTTATCAGCTGGTTTTCATCCTTTTTCGTGACAGGCGGAGGAGACATCGTCGCTGTGAAAATCCGACGAGCTTTCCGCTTTTTGTCAAAAGATTGGATGATTAATCATACCGTCCTATATCCTCTTGTGCCCTTTAGCCTGTGTATGTGTCTACACATACGCGATACGCAGTTATTCCCACGCACACATGCGTCACTGGGCCGTGTACCTTTTAGCGAACGAGAATTCATCAACGTCTAAAACTAGAGAGAAGCTTTCGTGAGTGATTGACCCCGTGCTAGACCTTGTCGTTCCGCGTTGTTTCATTCCCAAGTCTAATATTTCTAATTCAATAGCCCAATACTTTTAGCACGTCCAATTCCTCTATTCAAATGTATCACGATATTTGAAAGGAATGAAGATGAATTATTATTAGCATTTTACGATGTTTGGTACACAATTCATCAAACGCAATATGCCAAATGTTATTATAAATTCAGCACATGCCAATATGCTCTTTCTTTCTCAGGATAATTTTGTATTTAATTACAATCCATTTAAGTTTTCCATGACTCTATTAGATCTTTCTAAGATCTTAACGTCAACGTCCACAAATTTAATCATCGTTTTGTAATACGATTTTAATTTCATAATGTCATACTGTCAATCGCGTCGCCAAAATTACGTCTAGACTAATAAAAAAGCTGCAAACTTTTATATCAAGAAATTTAGTTCCCTCCTTATTCCTCTTCTTTTCTCTTCTCCTCTCCCCCTCTCTCTCTCTCTCTCTCTCTCTCTCTCTCTCTCTCTCTCTCTCTCTGAAGGTAAATAATAAAAAATAAAGACAGTCTTGCTATTTCATTGGATACTCGATGCATGTCCTCTCTTTCTCTTCATTTTTCTCTTTTTTGATTACTGCACTGCAGTTTTTAGTAACCTAACTACTCAACAGAAACTCGAGTTTAAACGATTAATTAACGCTTGTATGCATTTCATTTTCAACTTGTACAGAGATGAGCACATCTCACACTGCTATGATGTGCTGAGGTGGTTCTCCGCAAATGACAGAAAAACCTATCTCAATTCTCACTTGCTGTTTCTTTATTTTCTATTATTCGTTCCGGTATCCCTTCCTACATTGCTTTCAACCTCCATCAATCCTTGTACCACTTCTTTAGACCTAGCTTTCTCTTCCTATAGAACCTCTACCTACTAGTGCTTCTTTCATTACGCTGGCATCACAATGTAAAACTCGCTTCCAATTACGATCAGAAAATCAAAGACACTTAGCATAAAACGTGTTTTTTCTGTTATCTATGATAACGTGAGACAAGCTAATTTTTGCAATTTTCTTTCATTTTCATGTACGTATATGCATTATCTTATGCATTATATTTGTCTTGTGTTTTTTTTTCTTTTTTTCACTTTTATAATCTATGTAATTTTTATTTCTTTATTTTATTTGTATTATTTTTTGCATTTTCTTTTGTTATTTTATATTTTTAGTTCCTTTGCTTCTTCGATTTTTTTTCTTTTTTTATTTCCTTGAAGTCGCCCTTTCCTTCGCACTATTATTAAACGCCATTATCTATTTATCTATCTATTTCTTCCGTTTTTTTTCTTTCTCCTTTTCTCATCAATATGCAATTTAGTTTTAAACACATAAATTTGTTCAATTCATCAACATTGACCTCATTCAATCTCGTCTCATCATTTAATCTGCCTGAGATAGGTACATACGATTAGACGATTCTGCGGAAACGGAGAACCATTCAGTATTCCGCGCTTATCCACTCGCTCAATGGCCTCCACAATCCACGTTAGCCATGTAGTCCGAATTCAACCGTGGGTAGCCGGGAAGCTTATGAGCTTTTCAACGCACGGATCAACGGGAGTTTGAAGCCTATCGAACAAGGATGACATAACCATGGTATATACGTATCGTGGTCGATCGATTTCCGTATCTCAAACCATTTCCTGATCCCTGAATAAACACTACCGTGTAATGTCATACAGCATTTAAGTCAAGCTACGTAAATTGCATGTGCGATTGTCGGTATCATTTGCAGCTAATTATCTGCTTTCTCTGCATTGTATTATCAGTAAAGATATACATTTCAGATTATTAACCCTTATCCTACTAAGGGAAGTCATTAATTACCGAGCGATTCCTGTTCGTGCAAGTTTCTTTACGTCTTTTGATAATTATAAATTATATTATATTTTATTATTTCCAAAAATGAAGTGCCAATATTTATTCTAGAAAGTTAAACGTATGGAATTTTTAGAGATTTTTTTAATCATTCTGATGAATAGGAAAAAAACGGATTCTAATGCTCCTGTTAGTATGGATAAGGCAAAATTGTACTTAGTAGGGTAAGGATTAATATTTTTTTAAGATATCTACGGGCACCAATATTATTAAATTGTTTGTCAATTTATTTATGATATTCTAGTTCTATTAGGATCGTATTTCAAGATTGAAAATTAAATTTGGTACGCGGTTTGACATTGTATATAAATTCACACCAAATTATTTAGGTAAAGATCCAGCATAATCGTTTAAAGGGCTCCTAAAAAGTCGTCTGTTTTACCGATTTAATATTATAG